AACAGTGTTTCCCAGGCTTCAGTTTCCAGGATTGAGTTTTTAATCAAAACCATTGCCTACCCTAGCATGAAGGCCACAGGAGGTCGGTCATCTGTTTAGGGTTACCTGGAGAGAAGAGTTGAAAGCTTCGGGAAGTCGTTTGTCCGTAGAGTCTCAGAGAAGGCCACCAAGAGGAACTCCGCATTTCAGGGCTGTGTAGAGTGCACCCAGCAGAGCGAGCCATCCCCATGTGCAGTTGATGACAGAAAGGCAGGCTCTAGAGCCGACTGTGTGTTCTGGGTTGGAAAGGGGTACAGTGGGAAGGTGCTACCATCCACGGGGCTGACCCAGGGTTGATCCCGGAACATGTGGCCCCCTGATCCCCACCAGGAAGGAGTGACCTCTGAGTGCAGAGCCAAGAGTAAGACCTGAGGGTTGCCAGGTGTAGCCTAACACCCTCCCCAAACAAAGCTAACAAAAACTAGCTGTATGGTCTCGGGCCTGTTACTTAATTTTGCTAAGCCTTAATTTTTCTCATCTGTGAAATGAGAAGAGTCAGAATTACTGCCTCAAGTGTGAGATCAGAGTTTCGTAAGTGAGCTCAGGTGGCGTAACCCTAGTGCACGGCACAGATAAGGATGCAGATCAGTTGCCCTTATTAGCTGCTATTAGGCTTTCAGCATCATTTCCCCTGTACCTTCATGGAAACCGAAACACAGTGCCACTGTTAAACTTATTCCTGAGTTGAAACCTGTCTTTTCTGGTGCGGACCTTGGAACCAAACCCCCGTCTGTAACTGAGTCCAGGGGGATATGCTTTCTGTGGTTTTCTCCCACTAACAGAGCTAAGGTTTGGGAATACTACCCTTTAGTAACTATAAGCCTGTGTTGAGGGTTGCTAAGGTTATCTCTTTACTTCTTTTTTGTGGGGGGGAGGGCACCCACCCTGCAGTGCTTAGGAATCACTTCTGGCAATGCTTGGGGTAACATATGGGTGTTGGGAATGGAATCTGGTTCTGTTGCTTGCAGGGCAAGCACCCTACGTGCTGTGCTGTCTATCCAGTCCTCTTAAAAAAAATAACCCTCCTGGGGCTGGAGTGATAGCACAGAGGGTAGGGCGTTTGCCTTGCACACGGCCAACCCGGGTTCGATTCCCAGCATCCCATATGGTTCCCTGAGCACCGCTAGGAGTGATTACTGAGTGCAGAGCCAGGAGTGACCCCTGCGCATCACCAGGTGTGACCCAGAAATAAATTAAAAAAAAACCCTTCCTGTATTTATACCTCTCATCAAATAACAACAGCAACAATCTATTTTCATCATAAAAGAACAGTTTGTCATAAAATTTCAAAAAAAAAGTTCTAGGTAATCATGCTCTTGAAATACAATTATTGTTAGCTTTCAGGTGTATTTCTTTTTTTTTTAAATAATTTATTTATTTATTGAATCACTGTGGGAAAAGTTACAAAGCTTTCAGGTTTAGGTCTCAGTCATGCAAATATCAAACACCTTTCCCTTTACCAATACTTATTTTTTACCACGAAGAACCCCAATAAAACCCCACCCCCCACCCCTCCCAATGCCTGCGAGGCAGATGAATTCTAGTTGACACTCTATCTGCTTTGATTAGATTCATTGTTTCAATAAAAGATGCATCAGGTGTATTTCTTTCTAGAATCTTCTTATTTCTTTTACCTTTAGGGTAATCATACACAGGTTTTTTTTTATGACTTTATCTTTGTTAGTGAATTTCTTTCTCATACGTGTTTCCATGTTATCACTAGGTACAGAACTGATTTTGGTCTCCATTCTGTCAGCTTGAGGCTGTGCCTGGTTTCCATGTTGTTATATGAACTTCTATTCCTGGAGTGTCAGTAACCTCTCACCATATTCCCTTTTCCCCCCACCTCCTCCAGGTCAGTTCACCATTCTGTTTGGCTACCTTGTGGTTTGATTTCATTGGCTATTATATAATCCCTTTCATTGTTTCTTTATGCTCCGTGTATCAGTGAGTCCATTCAGTATTTGTTTTTTCCTTTTGACTCAGCCGACACCCTCCAATTCCATCCAAGTTGCAGTGAATTGAAAGATTTCTTCTTTTTCTCATAGCTGAGTAGTATTTTGTTTTGTATATACCACCATTTCTTTATGTACTTGCCTGTTGTTGGATATTTCAGTTCTTTCCAGTTTGTTCTTTTTGGGGGTGCGGGAGCCACACCTGACAGTGCTCAGGGTTTACTCCTGGTTTTGTTCTTGGGGTCATTCCTGGCAGTGCATGCAGGACCAGTGAGATGCTGGGCTTTAAACTTGGGTCGGCTACGTGCAAGGCAAGTGCCTTTACCCTGCCCTAGCTCTCCAGTCATTTCTTTTCTTTTCTTTTTTTTTTTTGTCTTTTTTGGGTCACACTGGTATTGCACAGGGGTTACTCCTGGCTCTTGCACTCAGGAATTATTCCTGGCGGTGCTCAGGGGACCAAATGGAATGCTGGGAATTGAGCCTGGGTTGGCTGTGTGCAAAGCAAACACCCTACCCGCTGTGCTATCGCTCCAACCCCTCCAGTCCTCATTTTTTAACTATTGTAAATGATGCTGTGATGGAAATAGACTGCATATATTCTTGTTTTTGTTTTTGGGCTGTCCTTGGTGATGCTTGGGGGTTACTTCTGGGTCTGCTCTCAGAAATCACTTCTGGCAGTGTTTGGGGGCACATATGGGATGCTGGGGATCTAACCGGGTCAGCCGTATGAAAAGCAGGCTCCCTATTTCCTGCGTATATATTCTCTGGCCCTGGTGTGTATATATTCTTGTGGATGAATGTTCTTGGGATAGATGCTCGGGAATAGAATTGTTGACAGACCTCCAGTCTTGTTATTGAATCGCTGAGAGAGATAGTTACAAAAATTTCATGTTTGAGATTCAGTCATAAAGTGATTGAACACCCATCCCTCCACCAACGCACATTTCCCACTATCAATGTCCCCGGTTTCTCCCGCCTCCAGTCCCAACCCTCCGCCTGCCTCTATGGCAGACAATTCCCCCCATACTCTCTCTCTACTTTTGGGCATTATGGTTTGCAACATAGATGCTGAGAGGCTATCACGTTTGGTCCTTTATCTACTTTCAGCACACATCTCCCATCCGGAATGATCCCTCCAACCATCATTGACTTAGTGATCCCTTCTCTATCCCAGCTGCCTTCTCCCCCAGCTCATGAGGCAGGCTTCCAACCATGGAGCAATCCTCCTGGCCCTTTGCTCTACTGTCCTTGGGTGTCAGTTTCATAATATGTTATTTTATATTCCACAAATGTGTGCAGACATTCTTTGTCTGTCCCTCTCTTTCTGACTCATTTCACTTAGCGTGATACTCTTCGTGACCATCCACTTATAAGGAAATTTCATGACTTCATCTTACCTAACAGCCACATAGTATTCCATTGTGTCGATATACCAAAGTTTCTTTAACCAGTCCAAACCTCCAGTCTTATGCATTGTGCCATGGTTCTGTTGATTAGTTAAATTAAAACTTTATGGAGCGATAGCATAGCGGTAGGGCGTTTGCCTTGCACGCAGCCAACATGGCCAACCTGAGTTCGATTCCTCCGCCCCTCTCGGAGAGCCCGGCAAGCTACCGAGAGTATCTCGCCCACATGGCAGAGCCTGGCAAGCTCCACGTAACGTATTCGATATGCCAAACACAGTAACAACAAAGTCTCCAATGGAGACGTTACTGGGCCCGCTCGAGCAAATTGATGAACAACGGGAGGGACTTTACTTACTTACTTACTGTACTATAAGAAGTACCCAAAGTGGGGCTGGAGCGACAGCACAGCAGGTAGGGCATTTTCCTTGCATGTGGCCGACCTGGGTTCAATTCCCAGCATCCCATATGGTCCCCCGAGAACTTCCAGGAGTAATTACTGAGTGCATGAACCAGGAGGAACCCTGTGCATTGCCAGGTGTGACCCAAAAAGCAAAAAAATAAAAAGTACCCAAAGCAGAAAGTGTGTAGCTTGGCTAAATGTCACAAAATGAACATGCCTGTGTATTGAGATATAAACTAGTCTTGTATGTAAATTAGTCCAATGCCATTGTGAATCCCAGATACCTCACCATTGTTCTCGAGAGCATGTTTTCCTTGCCCTTGCAAAGGAAACGAGCTTTTGCCTTCTCTGTGGATCAGAAGGTGCACTGTGGGGCCCACTAATAGCGTGGAGGCAAAAATGCCTCCCTTGTGAGCAAGCAAGCACAAAACCGAGTCTGACCCCCAACACCAGTCTACATGCACCAACTGTAATTGTGATGCGTTTGCTCGCTGGGATCCCCGGGACCACAACTGAAGTGGATAATAACCAGGTTGCGTCCCCATCTTCCATGAGCACTGCAGCCAAAAATGTGCGTGATCTCTTTGAAAGAGAGTGAGAACCCCCTTGCCCCCCAATGAGCATGTGTGCGCTCCCCAGTCATGTATGTGTTACTTTCGGTCATCAAAATAGCAAGAAGGGGGGCAGAAAAGGAACCGGAGGTAGTACAGTGGTTAGGCACCACATGTCTCCTGACAGGCCACCCACACCCCCATTTCTGACATGGCCCCTAGAAACCCCCAGCACTGCTAAGGTGCTCCCAGTAATTCCAAGCACTGCAGGATGGAAACTGAGCATGAAGCCAGTGGGGACTGTATTTAAGGGTGCGGTCAGCTCAGAACAAGAAAGGTGTGCTGCCTCTCCTCGCCTTGTCCCATGCTACGTCTGAACATAGCTTTTCTTCTTGGGTCCCCAGACGCACAGCCTGGGTGATGACCCAGAGAAGCTCTGGGCTGTGTGTAGATGATGGGCATTTTCTTCCTCTAAAATTCTCCGGGTTTCTGGCCTTGAAACTGTTAATTGGAAAATTCCCATCCACGGTTAGTCAGGATCCACCGAGGCCAGCTTTTCAGTCTGAGCGTGGGAGAATGGTTTCAGGATTGGGTTCCCATTTGAAACAAAATGTCTTTGTGATTGTCTTTCAGAACTCGCTGGCCAGGGGCACGCACTGAGGTATTGCTGCTTCGGTTGTCATCAAGCCTGTCGTCAGAGGGTGCAAGTTTGACTCGCAGCATCCGGCCTGTGGTGTGGTGGAGAGAAAGATTGGGTTCACCTAAGGAGAGACATGGGCTTCAAGATGACTTTCCCCCTCTCTTACAAGTACCGGTTACTGTTACTCTTCACCTTGTGTCTCTCAGTGGTTGGTTGGGCCACCAGTAATTACTTTGTGGGTGCTATCCAGGAGATTCCTAAAGCAGGTTTCATGGCTAATTTCAACAAGGTCTTAGTTTGGGGGAAGGAAGAAACTCTGACCAATGAAACATCTCTGCGGAAAGTGGACCTCAGCAGCTGCCCTTCTCAATCTCCGTACCTTCGTAAGTGCTTTTTGGCTTTTCTCCAGTCTTCCGTAAACTTTGGATTTAAAAAGTACCTAACACAGCAGTTAAAGAGTCGTAGGGCTGGAGAGAGAGAGAGCATAATGCGTAAGGTGCTTGCCTTGCATGCAGCCAACCCAGGGGCAGTCACCAGCGCTGTGTATGACCCCTGAGGCTCACCAAAAATGATCATTGAGTGCAGAGCCAGGAGTAAGTCTTTTTTCTTTTTTCTTTTTGAGTTATACCTGGTGATGCACAGGGGTTACTCATGGCTCTGTACTCAGGAATTACTCCTGGCTCAGGGGACCATATGGGATGCTGGGAATCGAACCCAGGTCAGCCACATGAAAGGTAAATGCCCTACCCACTGTACTATTACTCCAGCCCCCAGGAATAAGTCTGGAGCCTAGCCAGGTGTGGTCAGGTGTGGTTCAACTGCCCCTCCTTACCCCCCCCCCCCCCCCCCCGCCATGGAATCTTCTTCCTCAAAAATCCCCTTGGTTCTTTCAATCAGTACTTAGACTTTAACATTCTAAAATCAAGGGCCAGAGAGCTAGTAGAGGGGCACTGCACAGTGCCACACCTGGTTTAATCTGCAGCACTGCATGGTCCCCCAGGGCCTCTGGGAGTGACCCCCAAGCACAGATCTGGGGGTAGCCCCAAGTATTTTTAGATGTGGCCAGATTTTCCTTTCTCCAAAGCAAACAGCTCTTCCCTCCTGCCCCCACAGACCCTTTCCGAAATTCAGTCACAGACTTGTGTTCCATTCAGATGGTTCTTTCGCTTCTCCGTGGAGTCATGGAGAAACCAGTGCTTCTTTCCCTGATGGTGGATGGAAACGGTTCTGCTCATCCTGTTCGCAAGCCAAGACAGGAACAAGAATTACAGAAAGGCAGACCTGACCATCAACCCCTTGTCCGCATTCCTCCCAATATGTGTTAAACAGTGAATGCATTTATAAACATTGATGGGCCGCATGAACAAGCACCTGGATTAATAGGGTGTGTAAGTAGTCGTGATGAAGATGGGCACTGGACACCTCAGGAGGAAGAAGAAGGGATTGAGGGGAGCCAGAAGGAGAGGTGGAAGAGCTACTGAGGCGCTCGAAAGCGGTGCCAGTGAAAGGGAGCGAGGGGACCCACTGATGTCAGAACTGTCCCGGGAAGTTCAGTCAAGGGCCTGGGAGCAGAGACATGTGAACTAAGGGAGGGTTGTTTTTATCCAGGCTACAGAGGGAGTTTCTCAGTAGTCCTGTGGGCATTTCCAAGCATCTCTGTCCTGCGACAGCTGTAAACTTTCTAGAACTCTCTCCCACCCCATTTTCACGGCATTATTAATTCGGGCTGGAGCGATAGCACAGCGGTAGGGCGTTTGCCTTGCACGCAGCCAACATGGCCGACCCGAGTTCGATTCCTCCGCCCCTCTCGGAGAGCCCGGCAAGCTACCGAGAGTATCTCGCCCGCACGGCAGAGCCTGGCAAGCTCCGTGACGTATTCCATATGCCAGACACAGTAACAACAAAGTCTCCCAATGGAGACGTTACTGGGCCTGCTCGAGCCAATCGAACAACGGGAGGGCCTTTACTTTTTACTTATTAATTAGGGCCCTGCTAATTATTTGGGCTTGATGACTCTGTCTCATCCACTGAGGAAAGGCTCCTTAGGGCCAGTTCCTCTCAGCTGGATGCAGTCCAGCCTTTCATACCTTCAGGCAGTCCCACGGATTCTCAGAGCTTGTCTAAGCAGTGGAAGCTTGGCTACATCTGAACACAGGGAGTGAGCCCTGCTGACTGGAGCCAAGGAAGGGCCTCAGGCCGCCTTTCTTGGAATGGAGGTTCAAGCACCTGGCACTTTTATAGCCCTGAGTGGTTTATTTGGTGTTTCAGAAAGGCTCAGGTCCCCAGGTAGATTTCTGCCACCTCTTTCCACTCTATATTCCTGTTCATTTCTGTTAAAGAGATGTGGGTCAGCTTTGCATGGGGGTTACCAGGGATGACCCTTGGCCTTCATCTGACTGGGCTGCATACAGCCACGCTGAGCAGAATGCTTATTGTGGGTTCTCTCTGAAATGCACAGAAAAGAAAAAAATGGTCTTTTTGTTTATTTTGTTTGGGGGCCATTTCCAGCTCTGCTCAGAGCTTACTCCTGCCTCTAGGCACAGGGATCCCTCTTGGCAGGGTCCGGGAACCATATGGGATGCAGGCAACTGAGCCCTGGTTACTCGCTGTACTGGTTCGCCAGCTGCAGGAACACATTCTGGCAGTGCCGTGCATACCTGATGGTGTTGGGGAGGGAGTCTTACAGGTTTCTGCGTGTCACTGGTTTACCGTCAGGGAACTAGGACAGCCCCCAGAGGCCTGTGGGTTTCGTCAAAGAGCCTTTTTTCTTGAAACGTTCTTGTTCAGGTGTGAGGCGGTGTTGGGATATACCAACATCCTGGCACTGCTTGGAGGCTACGCCTGGCTTGGGTAATTATGGGGCCGTGTGATCGAACCAGGATTGGTTTCGTGTAAGGCAGCCCTTTCCTGTCTCTTCATCCATGTTACTGATATTTATTAAACAAACACTGCCCTCCCGTTGTTCATCGATTTTGCTTGAGCGGGCCCAGTAGCATCTCCATTTTTGAGACACGTTGTTATTGTGTTTGGCATATTGAATACATCACGGGTAGCTTTGCCGTGCGGGTGAGATACTCTCGGTAGCTTGCCGGGCTAAAAACTTTTTTTGGGGGGAGGGGCCACACACATCTGTATTCAGGGATCGCTTCCTGGTAGTCTTGGGAGACCCTATGGGGTGCCGGGGGTTGATTCCGATCAACTGTGTGCAGTGCAAGCACCCTGCCCACTAGTCTCTCTAGCCCTGCACATGCTTCATTTCTGAAAGACTGCGCTTGCTTTTTTTTTTTCCTGAACTCTGGGAAGGAAAAGGAGATGGAGCAGATTGCTCAAGCTAGCCGAGCCTCGCTCCCTCAGAGTCAACCGGTTAGAAGTCATCTACACTCACACGTGAGCCGCAGAGCCAGAGTTGGCTTGTGCAGCCAGAGTACGTTCAGGCAGGTCTGCCACTTGCTTTTGGAGGCACTAACTGGAGTCTCGGGGACCTGTGGTGGGAGTTGAAGTGAGGCTTCGCAGTGACGACAGCAGCAGCTGACAGCCAGAGTGCTCACGTGTTCTCGGTCCACCTGACCCTTCAGCATTTGCTGAGGACGCGACTCTCGCTCCCGGTTTCTGTTGCAGGAGGCCAGAGCAAGCTCGTTTTCAAACCCAATCTCACTTTGGAGGACGTGCAGGCAGAAAACCCCCAGGTGCATGGAGGCCGGTACCACCCGGAAGAGTGTAAGGCCGCCCAGCGGGTGGCCATCGTCATCCCACACCGGAACCGGGAGAAACACCTCACTTACCTGCTCGAGCACCTCCATCCCTTCCTGCAGAGGCAGCAGCTGGAGTATGGCATTTACGTCATCCACCAGGTACGGGGCTGGGCTCTGCTCCGGAGCTGCTCTCAGGGACTCGCGCCCGCTTTCTCTTGGGTCAGAGCAGCAGAGCTCTCCTTCCTCGTTTCTGCTTGGAGGGAGCAAAAGATGCTTCCCCCCAGCTGTGATCCTAGGGGGCTAATTCTGGGAGCTTTGGTTTATTTTTCTTTTTTCGGTTACACCCGGCAATGCACGGGGGTTACTCCTGGCTCATGCACTCAGAAATTACTCCTGGCGTTAATGCTGGTGCTCGGGGACCATATGGAATGCTAGGAATCGAATCTGGGTCAGCCGCATGCAAGACAAATGCCCTACCCACTGTGCTATCGCTCCAGCCCCCAGTTCTGGGAGCTTTTACGGGCTCTTCAGTGAAGCTTGTAGGAAGTCTATTATATTGGGAGACCTTCCTTGTTGACCAACAACTGCCCAAAGCTTTTCTTCTGGGAGGTATTTGGTTTCCCTCTGTATTTGCTATATATGACAAGTGAGATGTCAGAATTGCCCACTTTTAAAGGATTTATGCCTTCTTTTTTCCCTTTTTGGGTCACACCCGGCGATGCACTGGGCTTACTTCTGGCTCATGCACTCAGGAATTACTCCTGGCAGTGCTCGGGGGACCATATGGGCTGCTGGGAACTGAACCCAGGTTGACTGCGTGCAAGGTAAATGCCCTACCCGCTGTGCTATCCCTCCAGCCCCCCAATGCCTATTTTTAATTTTTTTTTTACTTTGGGCCTATAATAATTTTTGCAGGATTTGGGGCCATACTTGGTGGTGCTCAGGATCTACTCTTGTCTCTCAGCTCAGGAGTGAGTCCTGAGGTGCTCAAGGACCCTTATGCACTGTGAGGGATGAACTGGGATCAGCACAGAGAGCAAGCACTTTTCGTCCTGGACTCTAATACTGTTAGTCGTTCTGCACACTCGCTCAGGGCAGCAGCCCCCAGAGTATCGTATTTTACAAACATAAAGTGTCTGCCTTTTCTTCCTCTTTTTCGGAAAGTACTATGATAACTTTGGACAACTCCTTGTGTTTTCGTTATGAGAAACTGTTATATCAAACTGGAATTCATTCTTAAAGAACTTGATTCAGACTGCCAAGAAAAATGTAGTACCACAATCATCTCTTGAGTTGTATTGTCAAATTGTGTGTGTGTCTATAGTGTTTCTTAACCAGTGACAAAGCTTCTTTATTGTCATTGTAAAGATTAGTTTCCACCACCCAGTCTTATAAAACAGGATTCTCTTGTAGCGATTCCAGAAAACTGTTAAGTAGCTTAGAAATATTGGCAGTAGTCTGTGTTTATAGGTTTCTTGATCCTTTATGGCAGCTGTGTTTCTTGGATTGGATAAGACAGCGTTAACAGTGATGAGTGATGCTAATGGGAATTATCAGTGTGTAAGAAAGATGTTGCAAGGAACCAGGCAGACAGCTCAGCAGTCAAGGGGGTATGCTTATGTGTGCTGGGATTTGAGTTTGAACCCTGGCTCCAAATGATTCTGATCACTACCAGGTATGATCTTAGGGCTCTGGAGTCTTCTTTTTTTGGGGGGGGGGTCCACACCTAGTGATGCTCAGGGGTTACTCTTGGCTTTGCCCTCGGGAATTACTCCTGGCGGTGCTGGGGGACCATATGGGATGCCGAGGATCGAACCTGGGTTGGCTGTGTGCAAGGCAAATGCCCTATCCACTGTACTATCACTCGAGCCCTCTGGAGTCTTCTAAGCACTGCTTGAGAGTCCGCTTCTCCCTAATAGCACTGTCCACTGTAGTACTGTCTTCCCACTGTTCATCGATTTGCTCGAGCGGGCCCAGTAATATCTCCATCATTGTGAGACTTGTTGGTACTGTGTTTGGCATATTGAATGCATCATGGGTAGCTTGCCAGGCTTTGCTGTGCGGGCGAGATACTCTCGATAGCTTGCCAGGCTCTCTGAGAGGGGTGGAGGAATAGAATCCGGCTCTGCTGGGCCAGCTGCGTGCAAGGCAAATGCCCTACCGCTGTGCTATTGCCCCAGCCTATCTCCCTAATAAAGAATGGTAATACGGTTTTGTTTTACCACACTCAGGGGTTACCCCTCCTGGTGGTACTTGGACAATCATGTGGTACAGTGGACTAAACGTGGGTCTCTAGTATGCAGAGCATGCATAGTATTTGAGCTATCCCCCGAACCCAGATTTTGTAGTTTTATATGGAATGAGGGATACTTTTTAATCAGTATTTTTATTATAAATAAAATTGATATTTTATAATTATATGTGTGTATTCGATATGCCAGACACAGTAACAACAAAGTCTCCAATGGAGACGTTACTGGGCCCGCTTGAGCAAATCGACGATCAACGGGAGGGCCTTTACCTTTACCTTACCTTATTGTATGTGTGTACGTGATGTTTCTGGTTTTGGCTTATGGGCTCATGCCTGGCTGTGCTCAGAGCTTACTCCTGGCTCAGTGCTCAAGGATCACTCCTGGTGGTGATTGGGTAATCGTATGTCGTGCCAGAGACTGAACTGGTGTGTATGCAGGGCAGAGCAGCTTACCCCTTATACTGTCTTGCTAGCTCAGAGCTGAATTATTTTAAACAGAACTTAATTATTTTAAAGGTGCAGTTTAGTAGAGTTCAGTATGTAAGCACTGTGGCACTGTCCTCCTGTTATTCATCGATTTGCTTGAGTGGGCACCAGTAACATCTCCATTGTGAGACTTGTTTTTACTGTTTTTGGCATACTGAATACGCCACAGGGAGCTTGCCAGGCCCCTGTGCAGGAGGGATACTCTCAGTAGCTTTCCAGGCTCTCCGAGAGGGACGAGGAATCGAACCCAGGTTGGCCGCATGCAAGGCAAATGCCCTACCCGTTGTGCTATCGCTCCAGTCCGGTATATTTACATTACTGTGAAGCAAGTCTCTAGAACTTTTTCTTCTTGCAAAATTAAACCGTGTAACCATTGAGTAACAGCTTCTTACTAAAAGGCCTATTTTAAAAAAAATACCAGGAAATCAGCAGATACGAAACATGTGAGAAAAGTCATCTCTGTGTCAGAGCTTGTGTCCTCCACATTGTCCTGTAGTGGCACGAGAACTCGACCAGCTGCTGTTTCTGAACTCTGCCAAGCCTTGTTGGCGTCAGGAGCTTTCTGAGCTGTCGTTTTCACCTCCGCAGGCTGGAAGTAAAATGTTCAATCGAGCCAAACTCTTGAATGTGGGTTATCTAGAAGCTCTCAAGGATGAAAACTGGGACTGCTTCATATTCCACGATGTTGACCTGGTGCCCGAGAATGACTTGAATCTTTACAAGTGCGAGAAGCAGCCCAAGCACCTGGTGGTCGGCAGGAACAGCACCGGCTACAGGTAAGAACAGGTGTGCCGACAGTGAGGGCGAGGAGCTTGTCCCCACTGCTCCATGCTCCATGCCCCATGAGGGTCCCTAGCGTCTCCCAGCAGCCTTGACAGCAGATGACAAAGGTGAAAAAAGCAGGAGCAGGAAGAGAGAGACCAAGCAGGAGATTCCAAGCCATACCTCCAGCCCCTACTCAGTGAACTTTTGCAAGGTTCCCCACAGTAACTCTGTCTGCCTCTGCCTTTCGACTTTAAGAGACCAACCAAGCTACCTCAGGTGTCTCAGGTCACCTTGCAGGCTAGTGTTGTGAGGCTGACATCTCTTTAGAGTTCTCAGTGTTCTAAGGGAGGAGGGTAGGGTGTGGAGAGAACAAGAGGCAGATGGCCCCAGCAGTCGGCACAGGAGTCAGGACAACCAGGACAAATATTTCTCCCACCCTTGGCCTCTGTGAGAAGTGCCTGGGACTCATTTTGTCTTTTATGATTATTACTAAGGTAACATAGTTTACAAAAGTATTAATGTTTATTCACATTAATGTTAGTATTAATACTGCGTATTAATGTTGTTAACTATACTGATATTAATAAACATGAATGCTATTATCATGTTTATTACTGTTTATGCCAGACACAGTAACAACAAAGTCTCCAATGGAGACGTTACTGGGCCCGCTCGAGCAAATCGACGATCAACGGGAGGGCCTTTACCTTTACCTATTAACATTAACACCGTTGTATGTTTTAGACGTGTATTGTTTCCACGTCACCACTGAAATAGCAGGATCCTTTCGCCACTGTCACTAGTGCCCACCTTCCCCCCAGTGCCCCCAATCCAGCTTGTAACCTCAGTTTTCTTCTCAGGGTCTTAGGGTTTGTTTTCATTTGCCGTCTGTATATTCCCTTGTTTTGTATCTTTACATATTATCACATACGAGCAAGATCGCAGTGTCTTTTCTTTCTCCTTCTGCTTTATTTCACTTAACATGACCCTTTCTAGTTCCATCCATGTTGTGGAAAAATGCAAGATTTCATTAGTTTATATGGCTGAGTAATAATTTCATTGTATGTTTGGACCACTTCTTGATCCACTTTTTTTGGGGATCAGTACAGTAGTTGGATCAGTACAATAGTTTGGATCAGTACAGTACAGTACCGATACAGTAGTTCTATTTTTAAGTTTTTGAGGAGTTTCAGGGCTGGAGTGATAGTACAGCAGCTGCGGCACTTGCCTTGCATATGGCTGACCCGGGTTCAATCCCCAGCATCACATATGGTCCACCAAGCACTCCCAGGAATAGGGAGTGAACATTGCCAGATTTGGCCCCAAAACAAAACAAAAAATATTTTGGAGATGTTCCCATACTGTTTTGACGTAAATATGTTCCATGATATAGTTTCATACACACAATGTTCCGACACCATATCCTCTGCCAGAGTGTCCACTTCCCCCTACATTGTCTTGGAGATGAAGGCTGTATAAACATTTTCCATTTATACCCTTTTCCTTGAGAAAAAAAAATTTTTTTTGGGTGGGGGACATGATAGGGGTGAGGTGCACTTGGTGGTGCTCAGGGCTTCCTCCTGACTCTGGGCTCAGGGATCCCTCCTGGTGGGGCTCAGGGGAACATCCCGGTGCTGAAGACGGAACCTGGGTGTACTGCTTGCAAGGCAAGTGCCTGACCCCCATTCAGTTAATCAGACACCAGAGCATTGTAACTACAGTGTAAGGAGCTGGGTTGTGGACTATAAACTGTCAGTGGGCAGCACCTCTACATTAGAGGTTATATCTTGCACCAGAGTGTGATTATGTCTTGGATCACTACCACGTCATTAGTGCTATTTCTCATTGGTAATGGGCAGGCCCTGCCTGACATCTGATTCTCAGTGTCTTGAAGCTGCTCATATTCAGGTAGTTAGAATCCTTTACCAGACTCTGTAACTATGGTAACAAGTCACTGTAATCTTGGTCATAAATAACTTTCTTCTGAGAACTTTATTTTCTTTTGTTTGTTTCAGTAGTAATAATAGCCATTTCTAAGATTTTAGATAGGGGGAGGGTTATATAAGTAAATTTATTTCCATAAGGAAATTCAGCAAGGTCCTCTTTTCTGCATCCATTCTCAGAACATAGAAACATACTACTGAACTAAAACACTTTCCTGTTAAGTGGCATGTATCAGTATTTGTGTGTGTGTGTGTGTGTGTGTGTGTGTGTGTATTTTTGCTATTGGCTTTTCTCATCTGAGAAAAATGAAATATTTAGTTTGCCCTGGAATACTTTGAGTTGAAATGAAGTTCGAAGCCTTCCACATATTTCTGTTCATGTATTTAGTATCATCTATATAATTTTCCTGTCTTTGTTTGCATTTCTTTCTTTCTTTCTTTCTTTCTTTCTTTCTTTCTTTCTTTTTTTTATTTTTGGGTCACACCTGGCAATGCACAGGGGTTAGTCCTGGCTCATGCACTTTGAATATAACAGTGTTATATTCAGAGTTCTGAAGGTTGCTATCTTGCCCACTAATCATGCATAATCCCTGACTGAAAGGTGCTCTAGGACCGGTGCTTCCTGCTGTGTGTCAGGATCTCTGTGTCCCCACCCCCTGTTGTCCTCTCAGCCGATGTATCACCCATTGCAGAAGCTCCAAAGGTATCTCAGTCTCCAAGAATTCAAACAGACTTGACCACTGTCCTCTTAGAGTGGTATTGCCTTGCAGCCTATGGTTATATAAAGGCACTACTCTCTCCGTGGTGTCCGTGCCAGGAACCTCAGGGTTATTGAGATGGTTGAGTTGCTCAGGAGAAGTAATCTCTGGTGGAGACTTGCTTGCACACAGAGGCAATTTGCAGACAGAGTGTGTGTGTGGTAAGCTGTCTCTTGTCTACTACCCTATCCCCTAAACAATGATTAGAGCTAAAAAAGCAATATATTTGAGGAGAAAATATTTGCACACAATACAACAATAAAAAAACCCAACAATCCCTCAAGAAATGGGAAAGGTGGGGCCAGGCGGTGGCACAGGAAGTTAGGGTGCTTTCCTTGCACACAGCTGACCTGGTTCCATACCTAGAACCCCTTATGATCCCCTGTGCCCTGTTAGGAGTGATCCTTGAATGCAGAGCCAGGAGTAATCCCTGAGCACTGTGTGGTATGACACCGCCCCCCAAAAAAAGGCAAGAGAAAATGAGCAAAAACTTCTTAAAAGAAGACATGGGGTGGCCAGTACATATATAAAAAAGAGTTCATCATCACTTATTATCAGGGAAATGCAAATATAAACAACAGTGAGATATTCTCTCACACCAGTGAGGATGGCACAGATCAAAAAGAGTGGAAACAGCTAGTGTTAGCAGGGATGTGGTGAAAAAGAAACCTTCGTTCACAGTTAGGAATGTTATTTGGATCAGCTTTTATGGAAACAGTATGGAGATTTCTATCACTGTCACTGTCCTCCCCTTGTTCATCAATTTGCTTGAGCAGGCCCAGTAACATCTCCATTGTGACACTTGTTACTGTGTTTGGCATATCGAATATGTCACAGGGAGCTTGCCAGTCTTTGCCGTGAGGGCGAGATACTTTCGGTAGCTTGCCGGGCTCTCCGAGAGGGGTGGAGGAATCGAACCCAGCTCGGCCGGGCTGGCTGTTTGCAAGGCAAACGTCCTACCTGCTGTGCTATCACTCTAGCCCAGAGACTTCTATAAAAGTTAAAAATAGAGCTACTAATACCTCCATTTCTTGGCATCTACACCCAAAACACAAAACAGAAGACAAAAATATATGCACACCTATGTTCATTGCAATGTTTAGTACAACAGTCAAAATATCAAAACCACCCTAATGTGACAGGTGAATGGGTGAAGAAGTTGCAGTACATATAAACAGTGGAATACTGTCAATTACAAGTCCTCCCGTTGTTCATCGATTTGCTCGAGCGGGCACCAGTAATGTCTCACAACAAATTGTGAGACTTGTTGTTACTGTTTTTTGGCATATCAGATACATCACAGGTGGCTTGCCAGGCTTTTGTCATGTGGGGGAGATACTCTCGTAGCTTGCCGGGCTCTCCGAGAGGGGCAGAGGAATCGAACCCAAGTCGGCCGCATGCAAGGCAAACGCCTTACCTGCTGTGCTATCACTCCAGCCCATCAGTTACAAGAAAAGGTGAAATCATGCAGTTTGCTGCAACGTGGGTGGAACCGGAAGACAGTCATGTTGGGCAACATAGGTCAGAGGGAGGAGAGCAAATACCAGGTGATCTCACTTTTCTCTGGAACATAGACTCAATACAGGGGAATAGTTTCAAACCATGACAAGCCCTTGACCTTGGATTGCAAAATCTTGCTGTTTTTTTGGTCACACTCAGCTGTACTCAGCTTTCTTTTGGCTCTGTGCTTAGGGATCACTCCTGGCAGAGCTTGGGAGACATGCGGGGGCACCAGAGATCGAATTTAGGTTGACTACTTCTAAGACAAGCACCTTACCTGCTCTTCTCTCTCTCTCCAGCCCAGGGTTACAACATTTATCGACAATTAAAGGGAGATGTGGGATGAATGAAGATCTGACCAGAAGTGACACAGGGACAGTGGTGGAGGGTCACGGGCGCTTTGCGGTGGTCCACAGTAATTTTGTATGATAAACTTCAAGTACTGTAGCTCTGTTACTAAACTGTAATTTAAAAAAAATTAAAAATTACTACCTTCCCCTCAAAAGGGAGGCCTGGAGAGATAGCACAGAGGTTAAGGTGCTTGTTTTGCATGCACCTGATAGTTAAGTTCCCAGCATCGCATGTGACCTCCCAAGCCCCTCCAGGAATGATCCTTGAGCACAGAGCTTGGAGTAAGTCTGGGTGTTGCCTTCTTATCTCTCCAGCCCCTCAAAATGGAAGGTTTCAAAGAAAACAAGAATGTTGGTGGAGGGTATTGAGCACTTTGGTGGTGGTGAAGCGAGGTATATATGAATACTATATACTACTAATATATACTTAATATATACTAAGGTTTATATTAAAGTAAGTAAAGTAAAGGCCCTCCCATTGATCGTCGATTTGCTCGAGCGGGCCCAGTAACGTCTCCATTGGAGACTTTGTTGTTACTGTGTCTGGCATATCGAATACTCTCGGTAGCTTGCCGGGCTCTCCGAGAGGGGCGGAGGAATCGAACTCGGGTCGGCCATGTTGGCCGCGTGTAAGGCGAACGCCCTACCGCTGTGCTATAAGTGAGGTATATATTAAGATCCTAAAACTTGGGGTTGGAGACATTATAGAGTGGGTAAAACCTTGCATGTGGCTCCCAAGCACCCCATAAGCTCTGCCAGGAGTAACCCCTGAGCACAGCCAGCTGTGGCCCACCCTCCTCCAAAAGGCCATAAAAGTTAACGCTATAGAAAACACATGACCTACATTATAATAGCACTCTCGCACATCACCGTAGCACTGTTCTTCCATTGTTCATTGGGATTTGCTTGAGCGAGCACCAGTCATGTCTCCATTTTGAGACTTGTAGTCACTGTTTTTGGCATACTTAATATGCCACAGGGAGCTTGCCAGACTCTGCCGTGAGGGCAGAATACTCTCAGTATCTTGCTGGGCTCTCCGAGAGGGACGGAGGAATCAAGCCCAGGTCAGCCACCTGCAAGGCAAATGCCCTACCTGCTGTGCTAATAATTAAAAAGAAATAAATACAGTATATTCATGCATTCCTGCCTCAGCCTGGATGCAGCCTCAGAATCCTTAGCCCAGTGCGCTTGTCAGCCCGCTGGTCACCGAAGTGGCAGGTGGAGCTCCGACTCATTCGTGTCTGAAGCCAGGCTGCCCATCTCAGCCAGCTTGAGAGAAGCAGTGTTCATTGGGGAACTCCTTGCTTTAAGGAAGGATGGTCTCTTGCCCGGACAGAGGACAGAGTACCTGGAGCGTGTGGTGGAGAGTAGCCAGGTGTCTACAGTACTTACTCCAGACTCGGAGTTTCTCAGTGTCTGCTGACGCCAAGCAGGCTTAGTCCTCACGTTCCTAACTTTTCTCTTTTTTTTTTTCCGCTCTAGGTTACGTTACAATGGATATTTTGGGGGTGTTACTGCCCTAAGCAGAGAACAGTTTTTCAAGGTGAATGGATTCTCTAACAACTACTGGGGATGGGGAGGCGAAGACGATGACCTCAGACTCAGGTGAACAACGGAGACGGGTCCCCTTCATGGGGCTCTGCTGAGAGTGGCTGTGGGAAGCTGTGCCACTGCGTGTCTTCTGGGGGCCAAATCGCTGGTCGTGAGGCCTCAGTGGTACGGGGCAGGTTGCAGGGTGGAAGGAGGGCAGGATGACAGACGGCTCTTTGCCCCTGGCAGTATAGAAATGATGGGTTGGGGTCTTCTGTTGCTTGCCTGGGGGAGTCTGGGAGCCAGGTGTATGACTCAAGAACTGGTTAGTGGGTGTCTTTTGGTGACATGGAGCTCACCAGTGAATGAAAAGTCCCACATGGCAATTTGAGAAGAGTGACCCTGTGTAGTGCCATCTGCTTCTTCTCAGACTTCAGAAGGTGTTGACACTTTTCTCAGTGTCCAGAGAAGGGGGTGCCAGCAGCAAGTGCGGAATGGCACATGCCAGAGCAGGCCTGATGTCCTCTCCTGGGTCAACCGCCCATACACCAACTAAAGCTGTTGGTCCCCAAAGACTTTCTGGGACTCCTTTCTATTTTGGGGGGCTCAGAGGAAAGATGTCTGCCCTCTTGTTCCGGTCCCTCTCCTGAACTCAGAATCAGTGGCCAGACAGTTTAGGAATATCTTGATCTCTTAGAAAGAAGTGATTATTCAAGAATTCAGCGCTAGAACCTTCTGGCTTGTAGTAACAAGGTCTTTGGGGCTCTAAGGCGACCCCCTTTCTCACCCCCTTTTCCTTCTGCTGTTACCTCTTGGAGAGGAAATATTTTTTTAAATTTTTATTAGTGAAACACCATGAGGTACAGTTGTAGATTTACAATTTTTTTTGTGCTTGGGTTTCGATTATACAATGATCAAATACCCATCCCTCCACCAGTGCCCATTTTCCACCACCATGGATAATATCCCTCCCACCCCCATCCCCCCCATCCCACCCTGCCTCTGTGGCAGGGCATTCCCTTGTGTTCTCTCTCTCCTTTTGGGTGTTGTGGTCTGCAAAAGAGGCATTGAGTGGCAAACATGTTCAGTCCATAGTCTACTTTCAATATGCATCTCCCCTCCTGGGAGGATCCTTGGAGAGAAAATTTTTTAGCTGGGGTTCTGAAGTCATGCATGCTTGACTGCCAGGAATTTTTTTATTTTGCAGTGTTTAGTAGCCAGGGCTCCATGCTGGTCCCCATATCTAGGCAGAAGCTGTCTGGAGCGTTTCAGGCAGGAATGGACTTCCCTGACCCCACGGCTCCAAAGAGTAGCATGAGGGTGGCCAGTTTCTATTCACTGCCCAGTTTATCAGCATCCTGGGTGGCCAGGCCTGGGGGACAGATGGAGGCTGTGTGCAAGATTCCCAACAGCAGCAGCAGCTGCGATATTTCCTCTAGTTCCCTCTTGCGTTCTTGTTGTAGGTATAAGTTAGCAGAATGCCACCTCCTCCCTGCCTTTTCCCTTTGAGGAGAAAGGTTTGATTTTGCTTGATCAGAACATGCTGGTCTCCAGAGTGATTCTTGACTCATGCCATGGATCAACTGAGCGATGTGAATATAAATTGTAAACTGAGATTTGGTTACTATTTACTCACCTGTAAACAGACTCCACCTTTCTTTGCATTTCTCTCTTATATTACAGTTAACAAAGCAAGTTTCATGTGGTCGCACTTAATGCCGTCAGATCAGTTTTGAAAGCACCATTGCCATTTTGCAGCGGATGAAGTGGGCCTGAGATAACACCAGCCTTTCAGAGCTACAAATACCACAATCATGGCATAAATGTCACGCCTTTTGATTTTTCCCCCTGTTTAATAATACTGGGCTTAGTTGAAAAATAAATGCCCGTAATGGTTACACCCCCTTTTTTTTTTATGACTGTGTTTGCTTAATATCTGTGACGATTGTGTGCTGACATGTGGTAACAAAAATCTAGATTTAAGGGGCAGAGTACAGCGGGTAGGGCGTTTGCCTTTCCATGGCTGAATGGGGCTTGATCCCTGGCATTCCATATGGTTTCCTGAGCACCTCCAGCAGTGATTCATGAGTGCAGAGCCAGGAGTAACCCTTGAGCATCACCCAATCCCCTCCCCCATCTCCCCTCAAGTCTAGACTTAAACCTACATTTGTGGGGGACCTTAAATGAGCATTTCTTTCTTTCTTTGGATACTAAATTGGGATTCTAGGATACTTGCTTCTCCTTTTTCTTATGCTGCTTTGGCCTGGGTGGAAGGGGGACTCCTCAGCAATGATCAGGACATCTAGGGGCCACTCCAGACAATACTTGTCTGGCTGTTTGGGTTTGATGATCTTCAGGCCAAAAAACGTGGTGCTGCTCTGCCCAGAAGTTCTGCAACCACCAGGGCCACTCTTAGTGGTGTTGGTTCCATGTGGGGGTGCAGTGTGGAGAGTGAGCTTCAGGCATTGCATGTACATGCGAGGCCTGTGATCAGTCCTCAGAGCTTGCTCCCTGACTCAGTACCCTGCTTTACTTATTGTTCTTGTTCCCCTTGTTCCCAAGGAGATTTGATAATTCCCCCAAATCTAAATTTTATTTATTTTGCTTTTTGGGTCACATCCAGTGATGCTCAGGAGTTACTCCTGGCTCCGCACTTAGGAATTACTCTTGGTGGTGCTGGTGCTGGGGAACCATATGGGATGCCAGGAATTGAACCCGGGTTGGCCACTTGCAAAGCAAATGCCCTACCCGCTGTGCTATCGTTCCAGCCCCTCTATACCTTGCCTTAAAAGAAGTACTTCCTTAGTTCATTTTTTGAAAATGACAAACTAGAGATTGACCATTTCCTCTATAGGTCAGAAGTTCATATTAAAAGTACTTTATCCATCAATTCTAAACATGTTTCTTTCTTGAAATAATGTTGAATTATGACATTTTTCAATACCTAAGTAATGAATGACTCGAACGACTGTATAAGCATGCATAAAAGTTTTTGCAAATGATTCTTTTTTAAATGTCCAGTGATAGATAATTGGTACAAGATTCTTTGCTTTTAGAGAAATAAAAATCTGTTCTTTTTTTAGGGTTGAGCTTCAGAGAATGAAGATCATCCGTCCCTTGCCTTACATAGGTAAATACACAATGATCTTCCACACCAGAGACCGAGGCAACGAGGTGAACAGAGGACGGTGAGTCTGGACTCGCCGGCCAGTACTTGCTTAGTCTCTTCTCAGAATGAGGAGTAGGTTGGCTTCACTCGATCCACTTTGTCTCCTTTTTATTTTTTTGGACCCATGCCAGTGATTTTTGGTCAACTGGGCAGGTGGGCGCTTTACTGCAAGGACTTCAGGATGTGGTGTGGCTTGGGCCCTGAGGTGCTGGGGACTATGCAGGCAACCTCATCGGTGCTGAGGGTCCTCCAGGGTAGCATCTTGGGATGCTTGGGGTACCAGGCGATGCCAGAGATCAAAAGGGTGCCAGAGAGGTGCATGCCACTATGTGCTTTAACCCCTGTTATCTCTTTGACCTTGAGCCAGTCAATTTTGTTCAAAGATTTTCATTAAGGTCATTTCTAAATGAACACAGAAGTAGGGGGAATGGTGTATTAAACCTGTGCACCCCATTTTCACCTTTAGCAGCCATAGATTCATGTCTTTCCCTACCTTAGTCTACTTTTCTGACCTCCACTGGATTATTTAGAAGTGAATATCACAGTGCATCAGTTAAAAGACAAAAACGAAGAACTTGGGACTGAAGAGATAGAGTAGGTAAGAGCACTTGTCTTGCATGCAGTTAAATGAGGTTTGATTCCAGCACTGTGTATAGTTCCCTGAGCCCTATCAGGGTGATTGTGGCAGAACCAGAAGTAAGCCCTGATCACCGTTGGACATGGACCAAAAACCAAGAGAGAGATAAGGAGAGAGATAAGGGGGGAGGGAGGGAGAGAGAGAGAGAGAGAATTGCAATATCTTTATCATGCTTTAAATGAGCACTTCCTTATATCAATTACCCAGTGTTCAGATTTCTCTGATTATCTCAAAAACACTTCAAGATAAAAGTTTATTCTGGGGCTGGAGCAATAGCACAGCGGGTAGGGCGTTTGCCTTGCATGCAGCCAACATGACCGACACAGGTTCAATTCCCAGCACCCCATATGGTCCCCTGAGCACCGCCAGGGGCAATTCCTGAGTGCATGAGCCAGGAGTAACCCCTGAGCATCGCCGGGTGTGACCCAAAAAGCAAAAAAAAAAAAAAAAAAAAAAAAAAGTTTATTCTAATAAGGACCTAGACAAAGTCCATGCACAGCATTGGATGGTAGCTTTAAATCTATTTTAGTCTTCACTTCGTTCTTCACTTTCCCTTATAATTGTTGAGCATATGTGATCACTTGCTGAATGGCATTTCCTGCATGGTGGATTTTGCACATTGAATCCAGATAAGATGTATCTTTTACTTTGCATTTCCTTGTAAATGAGGAGTCAGGTCTGGAGACCTGAACAGAATCTGGTACTACTTGGGGACAAGCACACTTTATCAGTCATACCATATGCGTTCTCTTGCAAACCGCCAAGAGGATGTGACGTCTGGGCGTGTTTGTGAAGTCCTGGTTGATCTGTGGGTTCAGGGTTGTCAGCCCTGTCCCCTCATTAGGAGAGGCCTTCTTAGCATCTCCCCTCCCCCCAGGGTTTTTATGATCATTGGTGATCTTTGCCTAAAAGAGTAAAAGAGTAAAGGCCCTCCCGTTGATCGTCGATTTGCTCGAGCGGGCCCAGTAACGTCTCCATTGGAGACTTTGTTGTTACTGTGTCTGGCATATCGAATACTCTCGGTAGCTTGCCGGGCTCTCCGAGAGGGGCGGAGGAATCCAGCCCGGGGCTGGAGCTATAGCACAGCGGGTAGGGCATCTGCCTTGCATGCAGCCAGCATGGCTGACCCGAGTTCGATTCCTCCCGCCCCTCTCGGAGAGCCCGGCAAGCTACCGAGAGTATCTCGCCCGCACGGCAGAGCCTGGCAAGCTACCCGTGACATACTCAATATGCCAAACACAGTAACAATAAATCTCACAATGGAGACGTTACTGGGCCCGCTCGAGAAAATCGATGAGCAGGAGAAAAAATCTTTGCCTAAATTAAAAAAATATTTTAATTGGATCACTGTGAGATGCACAGTTATGAAATTGTCCATGATTGTGTCTCAGTCATATAATGTTCCAACACCTGTCCCTTCACCAGTGTACATGTCCTACCACTAATGTCCCCAGTTTCCTTCCCCCTTCCTCAACCTGTCTCCATGGCAGGCACTTTTCTTCTGTCTCTCTCTCTGTCTCTGTCTCTGCCTCTGTTTCTGTCTCTGCCAGGATTGACATCTGAGCACAGAGCCAGGAGTAAATCCTGAGCACGACTGGGTGTGCCTCCAATGCAATAATAGTAAGGAATGAAGTGCTTGTCTTTAGCTGTGTGAGTGTTCTGAGGGACGGTTTTGATAGAAAGGGCTAAATGAAAGGAAGGAATCAATACTGGTGGCTCACTTCTTGTTATAAAGAGTTGATTGTCACTAACATCTTTGAGGATGGAGTTAATATTCACTTTGATATTCAAGCTTGGTCTCCAGCCTGGCTCCTCTGATGAAACTGCAGAAATTTTGAAGGATTCGTTTCCTGTGCTTTGTGTGATGAGCTGTTCTCGAGTCAGCTTGTGTGTCTGCCCAGAAATGAGCTGATGAACTTTTTCAGTGAGGAATCTTGGCAGATCAGTCGAGTCTTTATGAGGCCACATTTCTTTGTTCTGATTCTCCCCCACGCCCCCCCCCCAATTTTAAAACAGTATTAAAGTGTTTTCTTAGCTTTTTGTTATTTGGGGACTGCCTAGACTCTGCTCAGGGCTGACTCTACTCCTGCTCTGCTTGGTGTCACTCCTGGGAGGCTTCTGGGAATCTGGTGATTGAAGTCACATGCTAGTCAAGCACCAGGCATCTTACTCACTGAGCTATCTTTCCACTCCAGCAGGTTTTTCGTTTGTTTGTTTGTGTGTTTGTTTGTTTTCAGTGGATGCTACAATCTAAAACAACTTTAAAGGGATTTTTTGGGGAGGGGGTACTCCTAAGCAGTGCTCAGAGGACCAAGAGACCCACTTTTGGCAATACTTAGCCATCTGGGTAGGCCAGTTAAGTGTGAGGGCCTGAGGAGGCAGTGCCTGGGTTCAGCCCCCTTTGCTCTCTCCCCGGTTCCCCCAAAAACATTTTTTTGAAATTTAAATAGTTTGTTTAATTTTGGAAACATCTGGTGGCACTTAGGGCTGACTCCTGGCTTTTATAGGGCTCACTCCTGATGCGCTCATGGGACCATTTGGGATGCTGGGGAACATCCCATATGGTACAGCTCTACCTGCTGTACTATCACTCTGGCCTCAATTTTAATTTTATTTTGGTTGTTATTGGGTATTGAGACAAATAGAATCAAGGACCTCACTTGTGGAAAGCATGTGCTGAGCCATATCCCCACTCCCAGAATTTTTTTTTTAATTTTTATTAGTGAGACACCATGAGGTACAGTTGTAGACTTACACATTTTTGTCCTTGGGTTTCAATTATACAATGATCAAATACCCATCCCTCCACCAGTGCCCATTTCCCACCACCACGGGTCCCAGTATCCCTCCCACCCCCATCCCCCCATCCCACCCTACCTCTGTGGCAGGGCATTCCCTTTTGTTCCCTCTCTCCTTTTGGGTGCTGTGGTTTGCAAAAGAGGCATTGAGTGACAATGTTTGGTCTATAGTCTACTTTCAGCATGCTTCTCCCATCCTGGGAGGATCCTCCCAACACCCTTTATTTGGTGCTCCCTTCTCTATCTGAGCTGCCTTTTCCCCTAGCATGTGTGGTTGGCCTCCAAGCCATGGAGTAAAATTCCTGGTACTAATCTCGGATTCTTGGGTGTTAGTCTCCTATTTTGTTACTTTATGTTCCCCAGATGAATGCAATCTTTCTATGTCTATCCCGCTCTTTCTGACTCATTTCGCTTAACATGATACTTTCCATGTAGTACCACTTGTATGTAAATTTCATAACTTCATCTTTTCTAACAGCTACATAGTACTCCATTGTGTAGATGTACCAAAGTTTCTTTAACCAGTCATCTGTTCTCGGGCACTCAGGTCTTTTCCAGATTCTGGCTGTTGTAAAGAGTGCTGCAATAAACAGGCAATTACAGATGTCACTTTGACTATGCTTTTTTGCCTCTCTGGGATATATTCCCAGGACCCACTCTCAGAATTTTAAAAGGTTTTAATCATTCTTCTAAGAACCTGCTGTTACTGTTTGCTTGCTCCCTCCCTCCCTCCCTCCCTCCCTCCCTCCCTCCCTCCCTCCCTCCCTTCCCTCCGTTCTTCCCTCCCTCTCTCCATCCATCCCTTCCACCTACCCACCTTTCCGCCTTCCTTCTTCCTTTCATTATCGGGCCATACCCAGTAGTGTTCAGGCTCAGTGCTCAGCATCACCCCTGGCTGACCACATATGATGCAGGGATCAAACTCGGGCCAGCCACTTGCACAGCAAGTGCTCTGTCCATCGTACTGTCTCTCTAGCCCAGCTGTTTCTATTTTCCACCTCTCATTCTAGTATTTGTCTTTCATATACATTTTTCTCTTTAAAATAATAGTCTTTGAATGGATTCAGGAGTACTTATAAAGCATATGAAAATATTAGAAGTTTGTAATTTAAGGAACGCAACGGGTGTCCACACCCAGCTTTAGGCCCGTTGCCTGTGTGACCCTTCATAGGCCCATATACTCTCTCCCCGACTCCATAACAAACAGGGAACACATTCCTGAGTTTTTCTTACCACAATCATTTTTTTATTAGTGAGACACCATGAGGTACAGTTATAGACTTACAAATTTTTGTGTTTGGGTTTCAGTTATACAATGATCAAATTACCCATCCCTCCACTAGCACCCATCCTCCACCACCACGGGTCCCAGCATCCCACCCCCCATTCCCCCCGTCCCACCCTGCCGCTGTGGCAGGGCATTCCCCCTTGTTCTCTCTCTCTTCTTTTGGGTACTGTGTTTTGCAAGAGAGGCATTGAGTGGCAATCATGTTTGATCTATAGACTACTTTTAGCATGCTTCTCCCACCCTGGGAGGGTCCTCACAACACCCTTCATTTGGTGCTCTCTTCTCTATCTGAGCTTCTTTTCACCTAGAACGTGTGGCTGGCCTTCCATTCATGGAGCAAAATTCCTGGTACTAATCTCAGCCATTCCTGGGTGTTACTCTCCCTTTTTGTTGCTTTATGTTCCCCAGATGAATGCAATCTTTCTGTGTCTATCCCGCTCTTTCTGACTCATTTCGCTTAACATGATACTTTCCATGTAGTACCACTACCACAATCATTTTTTATGGCATGGTTTTCTTGTTTTTCACATAAAATTTTATTCCCATATGATAGATTGGGTTTTTTGGTCATTTTTTTTATTTCATAGAAATGAAATAGTACTGCTGTTTTTCTGATCATTTTTAGCGAAACGCTGTGCTTTTGAGCTCCTGTCCTGCACTGTTGCTGTAGCCACAATGCCTTGCTTTCCACTGCTAAGCTCTGAGGCCCACTTGGCCCACCTCCTCCTTCCCGCTCCGCCCTGCAGCCTCAGCCGCTGTGATGACGTCACCACTTGAACTTATCCCAGTTGCGGAGAGTGGCCTTTTTGCTTGCTGTCCTTTTCCCCACCATACTCAGTGTGTCCTATTTGAAGTCTCACTTACCCTCTCTATAATCTTCCCCAGACTCATAAATTAGGTCCCCTCTAATCATTTGCCCCTCCTCACTTGTAATAAAACTGCATCTCCCCACCCTTACCAACAGATAGATTGGAGGATTCCTAGACCCTTGAAGCTTCTTCAAGAACCTGTGACAGTGGGTGACACAGATCACATGGTCTCAGTGTTACGCGTGTGTCCTGTCCTGTGGACCAGGGGAGGAGAGCCTCTTAAAAACGTGGCCTTGGGGGCTGGAGCGATAGCACAGTGGGTAGAGCATTTGCCTTGCATGCGGCCAGCCTGGATTCGATTCCCAGCAGTCCTTAGGGTCCCCCAAGCACTGCCAGGAGTAATTCCTGGGTGCAGAGCCAGAAGTAACCCCTGTGCATCGCCGGGTGTGACCCAAAAAGAAAAAAAAGGGGGCTTTCTTGGTATGTATTTGCCATGGGGGAAGATCAGCTGTCTTCGCAGCGGGAAACTCAGTAGGTACATCGATTTACAGTGGTGCCTTTGCTAAGTTTTGTGGCAAAGGAGTCGGTAATGGAAATGCTTGTTATATTCTTACCTTATTAACATTCACACTCATTCCTTTTGTCTGTAGGATGAAGCTCTTACATCAGGTGTCACGAGTCTGGAGGAAAGATGGATTGAGCAGTTGCTCATATAAATTCCTCTCAGTGATTTACAACCCTTTATATATCAACATCACGGTGGATTTCTGGTCTGACCCATGACCCTGAACATTGTGCTGAAACTTGGAAGAGCTGAATGGTAGCCTGCAATAATTTTGGTCCGGAGACTTCCGTTCGTAGACCACATGAAGAACTTGTTGCAGCCAGTTTTTAAGCTGAGTTGTTCTTTTCCCTGTTTTTCATTTTCATGTTCTTTCTTTCTTTTCTTTTTTTTTTTTAAGTAGAGCTACTGTTGATGAAGAACAAGAGAAGACAGCTTTTTTAAAGTTGTTTTTAACATGAGAGTTAAGACTATAATAGTGATACTTGAAAGACTAAGGGTAAAAGACAATTCAGAGGATATCATGAAGGCTGCTTGAGAACTCAGATGGAAGGAAATTAAATCGGAAGTGATCCATCTTGGGTTAGAAGGTAAAAGGAAATAAAATTACTGAATGTCACAGACAACCTGAAATGCAGGGAGCAAGGCAGAAAGGTACTAAGCTATGGTTCTGTTATTCATTTGGCCTATGAACCTTTACCTGTGAAGAGACAGGTCTCAGGCAAGAAGAGCACAGAAGAGGCGGGAGCAGGAAGAATCCAGATGCTGTGAACTTGGGAATGAGGAGCTGGAGGTCAGGGTCTGGGCGACAGGCCCCACCGCCGCCTTTTGTGGAGCAGATCCCGCCCAGATAGCTCTTCCCAGGACTCCCCCAGCAGAGAACACGTTCTCAACTTGTTTTTTAAGTATTTTTGTAAAATAATTTTGTACAAGTAGGAAATGAATTAGCAGTTTACAAATGACACATTAATAATATAGCAAAAGTACCTCTAGTAAAAGATGAAAAAGCTTTTGGTGCTTAATCTTTTCTTGCCCTTTTGTTTGAGGTCTACAGATGAAGTAATTACATTCGTTCTCTGAAACGGCTCAAAAACAAAACGGGAGACCAGGGATGACCCAGCTCATCCTTCTTGAAGGGCCCAGAGAAACGGGGTCCCATGAAAGACAGCAGTCACCTCCTGATTGGGAAATGTATTTGAAAGTAAAAGTTGTTTTATAGACCTGATATGTTTCCTTTAGGTTTTCTGACTTACCTTTCACTCAGGGACAGGTGAAAATCACATTTTAAAAGAAATAATGATGGTTCTTCCCCCTTCCGCCTTTCCCTTTTTTTCTGTAGACTCTCTCTAGCATTCAGTTACACTTTTCTTAGTGATAATCACATGACTTCGCTGTTGTAACTGCCAACAACTGATGCCAAAGGTGACCAACTTGGAGTCTGTGGGTCCCCAGTTGTGATACTCAAGGGTAAGATATATGCAAAAGATGAAAGGATCTGTAATTGAGGACTCGGTTTGTCTTTCAGTAGAAGTGATCTGCAGCTTGCTTTCATCATGTGGCTACACCCTGCGTACTTTGTTTCGGCTATTAACAGGGCATCTGTATTTGTTTATACTGGAAACCATGGTGCCCTGCCTGATGTTATTCTTCAGCAGATTCTTTCAGCCCAGATAATGTACAAGTCATCTAAGTGACTCGTTATAAAACCTCTTGTGGTGGATAATTACTTGTGACCCTCATTTACCCACGGTGCCACTGCCCGGTACTTTGATTCTGTCATACCCAGGGTGGGCATAGACAGGAGGCATGTGGCCGTCCCCTGCTCTTCCTCCCAGTGTGGCAGGGAGCTGGGCCTCAGAAGGATCAAACTGTCCATCTTCCTGCCCTGTGTTCTTTTCATTTCCAGCTGCCACAAAGGAATCAATTTCCTGGCTACCGTAGGTCAGCGTACTTGATAGCTGAGGTCCTAAGGCAACCGTCTATTTGGACACCACAAATGCTTCATTAGAAGCATGCGCTGTTAGCGCCTTCTTTTTCCTCTTCTGGTCGTTAATTTTCACAACTCTCTGTGGTTTGTGATACTTTTGACACACCGCTTTATTGATCCAGTTGACTCTTAAGTGAGTAGATGAGCTGGAGGCTTAGGTCAGTCGAGGGAGAGGACAGACATTCCACAGCTTAGTAGGTGGCAGAGACAGGCACAAACTCACATCTTCTGTCTCCCAGGGTCATGACTCCATGCCTCGTGTCCTCATCTCTGCACTATCACAAACCATAAACCACAAACCACAAACATCCTTTGAGATGGTTTTCCTGAATTGAAATTTCTGTCATAGCTCTTACAGTTGGATGGAATCCTACGAAGCCTAAGATGTATGTTCCAGTCTTGCCTGGTATCTTTGGCTAGCTTTGGTTCTGTACCACAGCCAGCAGGACAGAGGCTGTGCCCCCTCTGGGTGGACATCACCCTGGCGATGCTCCGGAGACCAGGTTGTGCTGGGATCAAACCTGGACCATCTGCCCATGCAGCAGAGGCTCACCCCAGGGACTCGCTCTGGCTCCAGGTCGTTTCGAACCTTTCCCAGATTTCTTTTCTATTTTTCTTCACCCGTCGCCCCCTCACTTCTGCTCATGCCTCTATGGACAGGCTTCCTGGGGGCCCCGCATTGCTCTTGGCAAAGAGACTTGGAAGCAATGAAAGATGTTTTCAGCCAGATTTAAAACCTCTGCTTTCTCCAAGTGCTATACATATGTTCCTGTCAAAAGTCGTTAACATGCTGATAAGACAGCACATTCAGGCATACTTTGTATGTTCACTTTGGCAAATCGCATTTCAAAATGTGTTTTCCCTTCCTCGTGCTGCTGAGGAACCATATATGGTGAAGGGATTGAACCTGGGTCAGCTGTGTGCAAGGCCAACACCTTACCTGCTTTCTACCACTCAACCCTCTTGGCACTCCCACCCCCTATTTCAAAATTACTGCCTAGGATATTCAAAATCTTGCTACCTTTGTTAGACTGTGTGTCTTACTTTCTGAGTGAGAAGAGACCTGGTAGGTGTCAAAGGTTTCACAAAACAGTGGCTGGGAGACTCCATTGTAGAGACTCTGCCTGAACAGGCAACTCTCCCATTGGTTCAGTGACACTGTTGAAGCTGAAAACAGAAAAAATGGAACCTTATGTACAGAAGTGGTTTTGTGTCTGGGTGTGTGCCAGCCATCATTTTGGACCTTCTAAGAGAGATTGGTGACGGGTGGGCTCTAACAATAGATGTCCTAGTCAGTTGCCCTTGTCTTTCTATTTAACTTAACAGTAGTCCAATAGGTATGTGTTTCAAAGAGAAAACAGATTTCCTCCCCCAAGTTGGTAAGAGAAAAGATTCAAACCCACATTAAATAGAACATATTGACTCCAAAATCTTGGGTTCTCTCCTTTTACCTCTTCACCAAATACTGAGATTATGAGATTTCGTATTAGGGCAGAGATCCCATCTGTATTTTGAATTCTAGAAATAACATGTGGAATTTGATCTGTATCCATGAAAATGCCTTATCTTGATACCCCTAGTACATTCCTTCATTATCAAGTTCGAGATTTGCTGAAAAACTATTACTCATAGTTATTGTTTAGGGGCTAATAAATCTGAAACACTATATTTAGCCAGTAATTTTATTGCAGTAAACTGAAACAGCATGATATTAGTTGACATACTCAGTCCAAGAAGAATTCTTCAGATTTATGGTATAATTTCCTTAGGTATCTCTTCAGGCTCTTAGCCATGCTAATGCACACTTTACTTATCTTACTCAATCCTCCCACCAGCTTGTGAAGATAGAGTTGGTTTCCTGAAAGAAGTTCCAGGGAGCTGAGTGATTTACCAGAGTTATGCAGAGCTAGAGTTTGGAGCCAGGAATTGGACTTGCAAACTTAAGTTCTTAACCATTTCATGGTAACAAAGAAAGAAAACCAACACATATACAAAGAGAGTAAATAAGGAGGGCAGAGTGATTTGAAATTCTCCCAATGTTATTCAACCAGAAACTTGCAGAAACAAATCTGAAAACATAAATGCTGATGACTTACTGCAAACAATGATGTACCATGGAGAGCTGTGAGGTCTCACAGAAAAGAGCCTGTCCCAGTCTCTGGATTTGACTGGGTCATTTGGGAGCATGTATTCTACACTGAACACTCTAAGAAAATACGGACAATTCTTTGATTGTGAATTTCAGTACATGTAATTTTGTTTTTTTGGCCCACACCTGGTAGTGCTCAGGACTTATTCCAGTCTCTGTGCTCAGGATCACTCCTGGTAGGGCTCAGAGGACCATATGTGGTGATGGAGATTTAATGTGGGTTGAGCACATGCAAGGAAAGCACCCTACCCACTGTGCTATCTCTTTGGCACACTCTCAGTACATTATAACCACAAGAATGGACTCAGAGAAAACATTAATAATTGACACAGTCACATTACTCACTAGCCAAGAAAGGGTGGGTTTGTCATTTTGTGGATGCATGATGACCTTATTTTTGTGCTTGTAGCCTGCCTTGGGCTAGAGCGATAGCACAGCGGTAGGGCATTTGTCTTGCATGCAGCAGGCCCGGCTGAGCCGGGTTCGATTGTTCCGCCCCTCTCAGAGAGCCCGGCAAGCTACCAAGAGTATCTCGCCCACACGGCAAAGCCTGGCAATCTGCCCGTGACATATTCAATATGCCAAACATAGTAACCACAAGTCTCGTGATGGACATGTTACTGGGGCTGCTAGAGCAAATTGATGAACAATGGGAGGACCATGACCATGACCGTAGCCTGCCCCATTTTATTGTGATCTCTGTCCTTACCTGAGGTTGGTATTGTATGCATTTACTTACATTTAATTAGTGACTTGCATGGCAATGGCCTACTTGTACCAGTTTAACCTCTGAACGGCTCGAGTAGCTCTTTTATTCCTTTTCAAGAGGAACTCAGAATAGAGGATACTAGAAATTAAGGCCCAATATTGCCTTATCTCTTCAATCCGGAACTTGGCTATTTGTCTCCTTCAGAACTGTATGTATTGGGGTGACTTTTTTTTTCATTTTTTATCATTTTATTTATTTTCTTTATGACATCTTATTGTCTCATTCCTACTTTGGACAAACTTGCAGGCTATCGAATGTAGCCTGCCCACAGGGCAGAGTCTGGCAAACTCCCCGTGGCCTACCAAATATGCCAAATACCAGTAACAATGATGGGTCTCATTCTCCTAAAGAGCCGTGAATATAATCTCAGGGCTAGGATGAAAGAGACGTTACTGGGGCCTGCTCGAGGCAATCGACGATTAACAGGATGATGAAATGAAAATGAAATGAAATCATTTTATTTATTGAATCACCATAGAGAAGTTACAAAGTTTTCGGGTCTAAGTCTCGTTCATACAATGAAACACCCATACCTTCACCAGTGCCCATTCTCCACCACCAAAAACCCCAGTGTACCCCCATCCCACACCCTCCCCCTACCTGTGGGCAGATGATTTCCATATTACTCTCTCTCTGCTTTGAACACATTCAATATTTTGACACCAGACCCACCATTATTATTTGAGATTTTACCCCAACACTAGGATCTGCTGAAAAAGCAACAGTAGACAATTTGTTTTCTATTGCTGGTTATGAATAACATACGATGTTGCGTGGCTGCAGTAGGGCCATGTGATTGTGAAATTCCGAAATTTTAACACTTAAATCTGGAGGGATTTCTGCCAAAAGCCACTGGGTTTCGAGATTTGCTCCTGAGTCTCTGGGATCATGGCTGTTGAGCAGCTTGATCAGGAGCCAGAAAGGCCATTCGTGGGCAATGACTTGGGGTCTCGTTGGGGTGGGGAGGACAGGCTCGGCTCCACCCCCATCCCATGAGGCCCAGCAAGTTTCGTTGCTGCAGGCCCAAACCTGACTGTCCAATGGTCTCTGGAAGATGATGGCCACTGAGCCGCCAGGGAGAAGCAGGTGGAGGGACAACACCTT